CCCTGTGAGGTGGCAGTGCCAGGGTGGGCACAGTGACAGTGGCCCTGTGAGGTGGCAGTGGCTCTGTTACAGCCCCGGCTGGGGAGATCCAGGCCGGGTTGTGGAATTGCAGGTGGTTGGCATAGAAACCAGGGATGCTGTGATGCATCACCCGGGGCCCTTCTTTACCCTGTTGGGTTTTTTTTAGCCTCTTCCCTGTAAATCCATTTCTGTAGTAACACTTTTTTTGCCTCTTTTTTTTTCATTTTTTTCATTTTTTTCATTTTTTTCCCTTTCTGGTTCACTATGAAATATTTACACTCGGGCTCCCACGGCTCCTCCAACACATCCCTGGCTGCCTGTGCAGACGGATCCACTGGCACCGTGCCCACATCCCCAGGCCCTGGGGGCCCTGGGGACACTTTGTTTGGTCCCAGAGTAGGGAAAAACACAGGGAAAACTTAGGGGAGGGTGGTCCCGTGGGGGCCTGATCCACAGGAAACTCCCTGCACCGTTGCTTCCCAAACCAGGTGCCAACACCGGGGTGTGATGCCACATCCCCCGTGCCCACCCCAGTGCCCCCCAGTTGCCACCACCCTGGGCTTGTTGGGGCTGGCTGGTGGCAGAGCTGGGAATTCAGCAGCCGAGGGCTGACGTTACCTCGGCTTGCTGTGAATCATGAAGTGAATTCTCGGGGTATTTGTTGTAAATAAAGTCCCAGCGGGGGCCTTGTGAGCCGGAGTGACGTCACCGAGGAATTCGGGATGAAAGACGCGGCTGGGCTAAAAATAACGCGGGGCACAGTCGTTTGTTTGCCTTGCAAATAAAGGCCTTATTATGAAATGGAAATAATTGCGGGGATAATTGACTTTTCGCCGGGCCCCGCTGCTCCTGCTTTGCTTTTGAGGTGTTAAAATCCCCGCCTGCAGGTCTCAGCCTTCCAGCAAAATCCCGCCTGAGGATGGGGCTGGAGCTTCCCCGGTTCCTCGAGTGCTTTGGGAGATCCTGCCTCGGCTTATTCACATTTTAGGGAATCCACTTTCCCATAAAACAGCCCTGGCAGTGGGCACTGCCCTGCCCTCCTTCCCACGGAGGGAAATCAAAGCCTGAGCCCTGACGCTGCAGCTCCAAAATAAATCTTTGGAGTCCAAAAATAAAATTGGATGCGAATATAAACTTGCAGAAACATTTGCTGATCTCAGATTTAATTTATTTATTTTTTTTTTTTTTTAAATTCTCGGTGTGTGTTTTTCGTGATTGTTTTGACTGCTGAAACGGCTCCTGGCCCCGACTCCTGCTGTCATCATTCCCAGCAATTACAGGGATTTTTGGGATGGTTTTCTTTCTTTTCCCGGAGTTAACCCTTTGTGGTCAGGGTGGGGGTTGTGGTATCGCCGTGGGATGGGGATTTGGGGCTTTGGGATGGGCGTTTTTCAGGAGGGAGATGGGGGAAGGAGGGAGCACGTGGTGCAGCTTCCAGTAACCCTGGGAATAAACTGCTCCCTAATCCCGCTGATT